GTCAGTACAATTTAAAATTGCTCAGAATAACTCACCTTCCACTTTCGAAGCTTGAAGAGTTGAAAAAGTGGGAATTCGCAGCCGAATTCCATGGAAATCAGCTGATTCGCCGTCACCGAGCCGCAGCCGCTGTCGCGTCACATTGCAGCGCGGCTGTGCCGCCCCGACAGTCCGTAATGATGAGGACTGTAGGTCGAAGAGAAATAGATTAATGTCAAGGCATTAAGTATAAAAGGCGCTCACACTGCTGGTCCCATTTGCTAATCCATTGCTGGAATTCTTCGCAGGTTATCGGCCAGTGAGGTTCCGAGTTACATAGCCGACACCAATGGGACTCGCATTCGGGGCAGATACAGCTGTCAATGCCGTCTGAAATGGAAGGAAGTGAAAAACGCCAACCCGAAAGTGGAATTCCGAAAAATCAAAAGGAAGGCAAGCAAGTGCAACCTTCTGAAGGGGTGAGTCCCACATCCAAGAAACATCGGGGGCATTTAACAGCACGAATCCGGGATCACGAAGGCGGCGATAGTGTGAATATGACACCTGAATAAAACATTTGTTTTGCGCAGTCTCTGGGAACGAAATCATTTAGGTTCTGAGGAGATAGTTCAACCTTTATCACTTCTGAAATCAACGGCGCTGGCAGGACTGCATAGAGTAGATCGATGCTTGTCACATTCTCGGTAGACTTGAGCTGAAAAGATTGATAAACTGATACTATTCTGATCACATTCTGAATACTGACTACTATTCCGATTGTTATTTGTTCAGCAAAGTATAGTCTGGTTCGTCATAGTCTGGCTGCGGAGAAAGGGGCCGTCAGGCGGGATGAGTTTGGCGCGGTGCCAAATCCGTTCTCCACCAGTTGTTAAAGCAAGCAATTGACAGACTGTATCATATCCCTCGTTTTCCGCCACCTGTTGTCGTTTATCTGGTTGAACAACTGGTGGAGAACGGGTCGGTGGAGCGCCAAACCCAGCTTCAGTGACACGCCCCATGATGAGCAGCGAACAATACTGTAAGGACCTAATTCTTGAGAAACCCGTATCTCCCACATCATGTGTGTCTCCCCGAAAAGAGGGAAGGCGAGTCCTTACCGGAACATCCACTGGAGCACGATCGAGGCGTAGT